ATGGTTTCTGACTTGCTGTAAACCGTTTTTAACAACGAGTCAGCCCACATGCCACACACGTGACCGTTTTTAACAACGGGCCAGCCCAAATGCAACACACGTGCCCGTGAAACTGCGTGAGGAAAATCAGTTTGTACTAGTGCCAGGTCTATCTGGTACGAATGAGGCCATGTACCAGTTGAACTGGTACAAATGCATGTCTAGGACTCAGAATGCTCGGAACTCTTGGCTTCCCAACGGCAGGCCGACCACCATCAGGCCATCCCCATGACTTTCAGAGTCCCCCTGAAAGTAAAACCCTGACAGAACGCGCAGCGATACAATTTGACTGGTTGCATTTTAAATCTGGGGTATGTTCTGGATTATACTTGCTTCGCCCGATGTAAACGTGTAAAGTGTAAAGACTAGAAAACCACTGGTTCAATCTGAGTTCACTGTATCTGGGGTATGTTCTGGGGTACTCGCTTCGCCCGATGTAAACGTGTAAAGTGTAAAGGCTAGAAAGCCACTGGTTCCTGTTTCACAATCTGAGTTCACTGTTATCTAATCGCCGCGTCCTTGCAGATGTGGAAAATATGCCGGTGAGCGGCGGACGGGCTAGCTCAGCACTGCCATCCATGTGCAAAACACTCTCACAGCTTGACACCGGAAGTGAGGGTCTGTCGAAAAAATCGCAGCAAACACAATTTGTTTGCGAAGTGCCCACACTGTCTTGCCTGAAGGGCAGGGAGGGCCCAAAGAATACACATATTCAATTCACTGCTTTAAACACAAACATTCCAGGTTGTTACGGCGTGTGTTCCACATGTAGGTGGGCACGTGTGTGTGTGTGTGTGTCTGTGTTCACATGTTTTTGCGTGGGACAACCAATTTTTCTTTTCTTTTGGGATGAGGCGCAGTGCAACCTGCAATGCCAACATGGTGACTGGGCGGGTGGGCTGCCAAAGCATCGAAACCACCCGCGGCATCACTTTTTCATTTGGGATGGGGCGCTGTGCAATCAGCCATGCCAACATGGTGACTGGGCGGGCGGGCTGCCACAATCTACCAAAGCATCGAACCATCCACGGCATCTTTTTTCATTTGGGATGAGGCGCTGTGCAATCAGCGGTACCAACACGGTGACTGGGCGGGTGGGCAGGCAAAGCGTCACATGTACTTCTTGCTTGGCAACTTTTTTTGGGAAGCTCAGGTGAGGCCATGGTAGCTGAGCTATAGGTCATGGCTGGCTACCATGTTGCATGAGCAGGTACAAACAAAAATGCTCCTACGGAAGCATCAACAACATACGGAAGCATAACGCTGTTTGTATAGATAACGATGTCCAAAGGACACCTTTGGATCCTCTCGGTGACGGGACAAATTGATCGCCGGACAGTGTGCGGCAACCGGTTTTGCGTCAGGGATGGAACAGTCCAAGAAAAGCAAAAGCATGAGTACACATGCCCGCATTGTGGGGGCCTGGTCGCAAGCAATGTTACGACGGGACAAATTGATCACCGGACAGTGTGCGGCAACCGGTTTTGCGTCAGGGATGGAACTGTCAAAGAAAAGAAAAAGCATGAGTACACCTGCCCGCATTGTGGTGGCCTGGTCGCAAGCAATGTCACGAACAGTGTGCGGCAACCAGTTTTACGTCACCGCTGGAAAGGTGAAAGACCAAAAGAAGAACGCGCAGAAGACGGTAGGCAAGAAATAGCCCAGAGAGGCCGTTGCGGACCACGAGAAAAAGGGAAATGGTGTGCCACAGCCCAGCAAGGGCAGTTTCGGCCACTAGAAAAAAAGGAGTTGGTGCGCCAGAGCCCCGAGCCGACAGTCTGTGCAACTTCGCCCACAGTCTCGCACAGAGCCCAGAGCCCACAGTCTAGCAAGTGC